GAGAGAGAGAGAGAGAGCGCAAAGGCAGAGCATGTTCCAATATACAGAAAAATATCCATTAGTTGGAAATAAAATATGTACTGTGAACAACAAAATACTTTTGGATAATTTTCATGCAAGATTACCTGCATTCCCGTGACTGATTTTAGGACACCCCAAATTATGTGCTTTTTAACCCGTGAAAATAGCCTTCTCCAAGTTCCAGTGAATTCAACACGATGGAATGTGTCCATCAGCAACCTCAACTCACCTACTGCAAATCTGGATCCTTCATAGGTAACCAGCAGCTCAACCTGCTCCAATGTAACACCGAATTGCATCAATTACAAGGCAAAATTAACATGACAGAGTAAGGAATCATTCTTTCACAAAAGAAGCAACCTGACTAATCTTGATATTGTGAAATTCCCTCATTTTCCGAGGTCTAGATCTTTTCTCATCTGGAACCTTTCCCATTTTTTTCTCCTCATGCGAGGATCGACCAGGTTTGACAAGTTTAGATTCTCTTGCTTTTTGTCTAATGGGTTCATCTTGCTGTTCAGGACAAGCAAGGGGCCCACTTTTTGATGAAGAAACACTCGAAGAGTGAACTTGTAATACAAGTTCATTTGCTACAGATTCTGCCACATTTTCTTCCCATGTTCTATCAAAGGAAGATGTTCTTCTCAGCTCTGGGGTCGACCCACTAACATTATTTGTTTCAATGTTTTGCAGCTTTGATGCCTGCACAAAAAATAATGTATTTCAAGAACAATCGGCAAAATATAAGTTGTACCATCTGATCTAAAAGCTCAAGTGGTTAGAGAAGAATAATTTTGACTTCAACAAGATCCTTCACGTGCAAGACCAGGTTACTTTTTTATCTAAGACCTAACATGTGCAAAATTTTCAGATATGGGGGTGGCAAGACTTGAACTCGGGACATTTGTCATACCACATTGATTAACCTTGCCTAAAAGCTTAAGCCATTAGATGTGATAAATTTATTTATTTAAATTTTGTCTTCAGCAATATAATTATTTATATCAAAAGACTGATCCGTATGAAAAGTGATATTTCACTAACACCAGTTTACCTAGACCAACAACGAATCTACAATTTAAGCTATCATCTTTGAGAAACTCACATGGGAGGAATCAGCAGCAACAATGGACTGATTTGTTGCAGATGTAGCTGCTAAGGCAGAGGTGCTTGATTTGGAAATATCATCTTTGGTCGAGTGACTGCTAGTTACAGATGCATCTTGAAATATTGTCCCTTTCTTTACACGCCTTGAACCAGCAGTAGTTGAAACCTTCCATACTTCCTATACATCACAGAAAAAAATTCGTTTAAAGTTTATAAGATGATCTCATTGACACCTTAAAGCAGTGAATTTAAATAAACCTGCCGCCGTTGAGAGTCTTGTTCCTCTTCCGGGAAGAAATATTCCCACATCATTTTGTACATTGTCTCTGTCAAATATATCTTTAAAGGGTAGATCTCAACCTGCAAAATGGGACAGCAACTTGTTTTGAGAAAATTTGAATGCAATTTCACAGGAAAAATTGGACACCTTAGGGCTTGGAACAAAAGGTGCTCAACTTCTGATCAAATATGTAGTGCAATTAATCTTCCAAACTTCAAACTGGCGAAATAACAAAAATAATGTCCATATTCTCAAGCATATTACNAAAAAAAAATGAAGAAGAAGAGAAAAATCTAATCCTGATCACTTAAAAGAGCGTATGAAGCAACACCAAGTTGAGCAGCACGTAACAAATAACTCCAGGTATATACACCAGCTCACATACTGGAGAGACTATTTTCTTTTCTTTTCTTTTTTTCTTTTCAACCATTTTTTTGTTGGTGCGTGTGCCAGAGGGAGAAGGAACTTTTAGTGATGAACATGTTTTGTGATGTAAACTGTAACCAGCTAAAGATGCTTTGCATTCTTTGGACTTCAACAGGGCAATAAAGACTACGGGATTAAAAAATAGGATAATCTCGTAGACTGTAAACTTTAAAAATCAAATGAAATTGTAGTAGAAACCTGGATTCAGGACTAATTTGCAGAAAATTAGAGAAGGATAAAAATTTGCACGTAGTACCCCAAGTGAGTATAGAAAATACTATAAACCCAGCCTAAAATGCAAAATCATTTCAAGAAAAGAATCAAATTATCCATTGGGAAAAACACAACGTACTTTCTTTCTCCCCCATACGTTTGTTTTGATCAAGGCTAATTGAAAAGCAGCAAGGGAATGAAACTAGTGTAACAGAATCACAATCACTCCATGAAGAAAGTATCCACCCAAATCCATAAATCCCCCTTTTCCATTAATTATGTCCATGATTGTCAAGGCCTTTTTGAGTCCCATTAAATTTAAGGGATTATGAATGCAGCAAGGCAAAACTCACATCTAAAGAAAGTACAATATTTCATGCAAGGAGGACCCTTCTAAAGCAACTTAATTTCACCAAAATCCCCTTTTTCGAAATATCTCATGTGGACCAATCCTTCAACGTCTTTACCTTTGCCTTGATTCAATATTTGAAGCTCCTGATAGAATTGAGTATTAACCAAATGTACCCCAAACACCTCCGAACATCCGCACCTTCCTTTGGTCAAAAACTAGCAGTCCACATGTTCTCGAGTATGGAGTCCAGACACATAGAGCTGAAACTATGTGCTGTCTCCATCTAGTCGCAAACATCCTGCTCATTTCCCTTTCACTATTATTACTCCACGAGGAATTTATTAGATGCATCCTAAATATTTTATGAACTCTAGCCTAATCCCCTCACAGTTCCTTTACCTCTCTTACAACCAGTTTTCCATCTATATAAATATGAAAGAACTTCTTCAGTCCTACAAAGGCCAGAGCTAGATTTCCAGAGCTCTAGTTGGATCACCAAATCCTTCCGCACCTTAACTCTCCCCTCCTTCGTTTGTTGTGCATATCCTCTATCATGTTTGATTGCTTTGAATGATGTCCTCCGTCACCTTCATTGTCCCCCATCAAAGCCTTTCACCACTGCAGCTGAAGTGGACGTGATTCTCCTTATGAACTTGTAATAAAAAGTAAGCTGGTGGTTAAACTGTATTTGTATCCTTTGTTTATCTATGCAATTCCATTCCTTGATTATCTACATGACAATTAAATTTTATGATATTTGGGAAAAGACCAGGAAAACTAATTTATATGAGGATGTGATAAAGGACCTTGAAAGACATAAGAACAGGAAACTATCCTTCAATTAGAAAACGGTAGATTATCCAAATCCCAAATAAAATTAATGACCTTCCTTGAAACACTTGGCTATAAACCCAAACTCCAGCAGAAATTATATCATGTTTCTTTGTAATTAATTTACGGAACTCAATTACTGCTATATCTGCTGCAGTTGAGCAGCATAAATATTTTTTCCCATAGATGACGGGAAATGCTCCCAATTCTCAACAAGGGAACATCGACCATGATCAAATCAGAAAATATTGGCAATTTCTATGGTCCAAGACAAGACCTCCCTCCCATTTTTATGGCTGATTTGCTTCATAAAATACTGAACCGCATGCTATTCTGTAGTATGATCTATGACAGCTATTAACAAATACAGAAAACTCAAGGTTTAAGTTAGAAATAATTTAGCATCACAGTGCTTGAAGCAGAAGGACCCAATTCTCAGATATTTTAATGACAGCTGAAAAAGATTGCTGCTTCAAATGTATGCATGAATTTATATAGCACTGCTGACCTGAAACAGTTCAAGAGGAGAATTCCCATCCTTCGGAGCTCCCTGTTTTGCATCTACACGAAGCATCACTTTCCTGAGTTCATTAAAGCTTACAAATGAGACAATGCAAGGAGGGTTTGCTGCATTTCATGATTTTGATTTCTCAGATAGGGATAACAATTTTAAATATTTAGTTCCTTTTCTCAGTGTGCAAAGTGTTTAATTTGAAATTAGCATGCCGAACATTGCCACCAGACACAAAAATTTAACGGAAGTTAGATTTAAAAATACAATTAAGTCTAGTCGTTAACCAAGCAGTGGGTAAGTTTTGCTTAATTCTGAACTGAACATTGGTCAAGAGATGAATAAATCAATAGAAATTTCATTAAGTGTGACCTGAAATTATTCATTAATTTCTTTTTCAGGTAACGGAGAGGGGAGTTTGTGGGAAGTTCTCATATTTGAGTAACAGCAGGTCAAAAATATAGTAAACTATTTCAAACGATTGGAAGCACTTTCAATAACATGCTAAGAATAGTTTTGAATAATCTAATATTTATTTTTGTAATCAACAGGCAGATCTACACATACTTGACCAAAGACATTCTTATCTTATTACAAAGGTAGGAGATAGATGTATGGACAAAACAGACACCATTCATCAGCTACGGCCAAGAAAGGCTGAATATTAAGTAATTACAGTGGCCATTAAAACTTAAATAAGGTAAAAAGCCTATCTCAAATTATTATTTCATTTGTTCACATCTACTAATTTATTTATTTTTTATTTTTTTCAGAAAGGTTTCATTTCTCATTGACATTAAAAACGACAACCTCTATTTATAAGAGAATGTTATAATGGATGAATGGTCATAAAAAGTAGATAAAAATAAGAAATGAGGCAACGTGTCAAGTTGTAGAGGTGGTACCAATGAAAGATAAATGAAGAAGGAAAGATGTGGTTAGGACAAGAACACATTCACGAGAGTGATGCAATCTCCAGTAAAACAATCAAAGAAGAGGAAAATCAAATTTGAACTCCAATAATATGGTTGCAAAGGCTTTAACTTAATCAGAACTTTTAGTAGATGTAGCACTAGACCGGACACAATGACCAAAAAAGGATTGTACAGTAGACTCCAAGTTTATTGACAATAAGATTTAGCTGGTTCTCTTAATTGGTTAAGGGAGGGCTAAGAATCATTTATGTCACACTCATGACAGACAAGGAATCACCAATTTGATATCACCCCTTAGTCAAAGGATAAAGTATTTCTTACGACTTCGTCATTTGCATAATTGTGCTCAAACTCCACTTCAACCATCTCACTGATCATTAATTTTTCCACTCAAGAAACCATGTAACTGATGTGAATAAGGTCATCAATTTCTAGTGTGTGTGTGGGTGTGGGTGTAAGAGAGCACTGGTGGTGACAGGAGTGGACAAATATTT